AACAATGGAAAAAAAACCCCCAGAAAGCAGACAGTGCTCTCTGCTGAAGGAAGTGAGGACTGAAAATGATTTCTATACCAGCACGCTGCTTTACTGATAACTGAAGATTATTATAGACTGCTCTTAGCCTATACTTGATTCCCTCATTGCATTTGGACATGTACCAGCTGGCTCCAGGTGAGCTGGGTTGGTCGGTAGCTCTTTATCACAATGCCCTGATCATTTGCAGCAGGCTCTGCCACCACAGACTCATCAAGGGACTCATCTTGGTTAGTGGACTGCAGCCCCCGCTCACGGATTTCCTGGTAGAGGCGCGGTGTAGCTGAGGACAACATCAACATCAAATTGAACTCAGAAAATTTTATAGTCATAGAGTCCTAAACGCACAGTTCTAAAAGTATCTACTATCATGATCAGCTTACGTGTGGATTTTGCTGTTTTTCACTCACAAATGCCACAAAAATGCCAAAGCTGGATTGTGACACCATATTAAGATGGATTATTTGAGAATGAAAACGAGGGAGGTGAGAATGCATCAGTTAGGTGGACAGCCGGTAGACAGAGAGTGTGTTAAATGTGCAGGTTAAAGATCAAAGAGCAGGTTAAACATCGACTGATCCTCGAGGACTTAAAAAGAAGCAAACAAGCAAACAGAAGTGTTGTTTAGGCAGTTCTCAATCAGCTGCTTCAGTATCAGTTTTATAAACTGAGTTTTCTTCTCAATTCCACACAACTAGATCTGAGAGATGACTTTAAAAATCACATCTCAAAAAGGAGACGTCGCAGTGCCTGACGGTTCGGGACAACCTTCAAGGCCCAGCAAGTATTTAACATGCCGGGAGTGTTCAGGGAGAACAATTTCCGTTTCAGTCCCCTCCTTTCCAAGCTATGGCATGGAAATTATAGCTTTCTCTGCATGAGGTTTTCATGACTGAGCATACGATTAATTTGCAATCTAGTTTCAAAATGTCAAATGTAATTGGTATTTTCTGAGTATTTGTAGCCCTTTAACCAAATTAAGAGACGCAGACAACGCGGCGCACGGGTGGACATACCATCTTTGAATGATCCACGTTGTCTCTGGTTCCTCTTTCTCCCCAGGGTTCCCTAGAGACAAAACAGCAGTGCAGCCTGAAGTTACTGTGGAATAAATGTGTGTCACTGATGCTGATATTTTTTCCTTTCTTTCCTCATTCTGCCTTTAACAAACTTCCTGAACACTAGTCTAGTCGATTGTGGAAAAACACCATCATCTTTATTACTAAAGTTGAATGTTGCTAACACTATTGGGTATTCCCCCTGTCACCTATTAAAAGGACAAGACTGTATCAGCTCTGCTCATTTAAGAACTTTGGTAGCTACACCAGACTGAAACAGCTTGACAGACCCAGTCGAAGTGTATGTGTTTAAAGGTCACAACTACACAAAGAAAATGATGCTGCACATGCTCCAAGTAATTGGATAAGTTAAAGTATGATTAAATAGAAGGACTAGCTTGGATGCCTGTTTTTCTAAGCAATTCATAAGCTAATATCAAACTGTGACATGCATACACATTCTCATCTAATTTACAATATATTTGTGGCAGATGGGCAGAGTAGAGCACTATCCTTAGACCCCCTGACCTCAACTTATGTACCTTACGTCCATGGGTGCGAATTGGGGAAGGACTGGGTGCTCTGCCCTCTCTAACAGGTTTCAGTTCGGTTGCAGTTGCTTGTTCTGTCGCCAAGCTTTCAAAATTCAAGCTAATTATTGCCGCTCTGTATGACTGGTTCCGGCGGTTCCTCCTAATACCAAAACCTTCTCCATCACTGTCGTAATCGTCCCAGGACACATCCGAGCGACGGCTTTGGTTCGCACTGCTGGAGTTCTCCAGTCCTACCGGGAATGTCACCACGGTGGTGTGGTGTCGGTTTTTAGGCCGGCTGGACACTGCTAACTTCTTGGGGATCATTTGCTCCTTGCCAACCTTCAGCGCAGCAGGACTTTTTGTGGTCAGAACCACCTGCTGAGGCACCGCAAGCCTGTCCTTTAAGCCTTTATCATCATCCACATCCTCCGCTTGCTCCTTGGGTGTGGATGCTTCAGGCTGGGGTGTTGCAGAGCCTGGCAAAGGGCACTCATCACCCGACTCGTATATATGGAGTTCTGTGGCGAACTGATTCTCCACAATCTGAGGGACCTGGCAGTCCTCTGACTGGCTCTGAGACATGGCGTCCTCCTGTCCTAATGTTGGCTGGTCTGGGCTCTTCAGCAACTACAACAATGGACAAAGTACAGAATTGACAGGAGTTATAATGTATAAAGCAGGACCTTAAATAGAAACAAGGCAACAGTCTGGCCCTAAATAATCTCCAGTGACCCACCTTGTGATCCAGTTCCGCTCTCACACAAGCACTCAGAGTTTTGATACCCTTCAAACTCATATGAAGGGACTTAACCCATGAGTCACCACTTACTCCTACGCTGGACTGTAAATCTGTACGCCGCAGTAACCACAAGAAAAGAAACTTTTTAATAAGCTGGCTACTCCTGTCCTGTACTGTGAACAGTCCAGCGCACACCCATAAGCCCGTTATAATACATGCGTACTTCTTATAAACACATCTCTATTATAAATAAGCCTGGCGAAAGTCTTTAAGTGGCATTCCTACCAGCCAGTGAGAAATCAGCTCTGCATGTGGGTTTCAAATATAAAATCCCGCTGCTGTAAATCCACTTTAAGTGTTTTGTTTTTTTTTCGTGCATTTCGCCTTACTCGCAAATTGATTTCCAATAACTTCGCTGCCTGTAAGACGGATTAGGGTGGGAGAGGGAAAAAAATGTCTGCCTCGCATTCCCACAGTTCAAAACAGCGAGATGACACGCAGTGCAAGCAACACCGAGACTGGGAGAGGTCCAACAAACTGCCTTACCTGAGTGAGCAGAGCTTCTGACAGCAGCCTCGTTTACACGCTGACAGCACGGGTCAGTCCGCCGGTGCTTCCGGAGCTGCTGTCCGACGCGCAGAAAGAGTGCAGCTTTTATTGAGCTGCAGCTGTACTCCTCCGCCGCTTTCTGTCACATTCTCCGTCTTTACTCGCCCACTTCCTCCTGTGTTTGCAGGCGCCCATTAAAGCGAACCCTTTACGTCACTACAGGTGAGCGTCAATCAATCATTAATAAGCGACCGTTTCGATGAAAGCAGGACACAGCTCGCGAGACAGCTTCTCACGGATAAGCAGCCTTATATTTAGCCATTCATATTTAACACCTGCCCCTGTGATGCTGGATTATCCTATTTACCAGTCTCGTCTCGGTCATACAAACCTTGACTTTGAAAAAAAAGTATATATATATATATTATTATAGAGCATCAAGTAGAATTTTGACATTTGAGTGGCTGAAATCCGTTTGCGCATACATAAAGACAAAGTGTTCCCTTTTGCTTAAACTTGTAATGACAAAAATATTTTTTCAGATTTTTGTTTACCTGATTGGTAACACATAGCTACATAGCTCGTTGTTCCCCTCTAGTGACCAATAAGAGGCATGACACTGTGTTCATCTAGCATAAATCCAGATTTTCACAAGCTTAACCAAAAATGAGTCATTAATAAGTAATACATTTGTTTTTTTAATGATTATTATTAGATTTCAGTCATTTTTGTGTGGCTGTTTTTTGTACAAATAATTTTAAAATCATCAAAAAAAACCAACTCTTGTTTAAGCCGTGTTTGAACTTGCAATTTCCATTTCATTTTCCTTGTAGATTAAAAATATCACCAGCAAATATCTCCACAAGTCACCAAAGCTGAGCCAGCCAATCTTAGACTCATGTTGCTCAGAAAGTAGACCATAATCTGAAGGCCAGTGGTTTGATCCCTAGCTCCTTCACCCTTTATGTCAAAGTATCCTTGAGCAAGATACTGAATACTGAATTTCCAGGATTGCACCCACTGGAGTGTTAGGGTAGGTTAAAAGAAGTGCTTGCATGAATTACTTCAAGCCTGGTGGGTGAATGAGTCTGGAAGTAAAGAAACACTAAACACTTAAATTGAGTAAAGTGCTGCGCTGTAAAATACAGTGCTGTGAGGAAAAAAACCCAACACAAACACATTTAATATGATTCAAATGATTATTGATGATTTCATTTACTGAAGACAAAAATCTATTTAAACCTACCTGGTCCAATGTGAAAAAGTAATTGTCCCCTTTGTTAAATCATCATGTATAATCATGATGAATCAAACTGAGTTGAATTTTACTAGACACACTGAGGCCTGATTACTGCCAGATGTGTTTAATTAAAAAAAAAAATCACTTAAATAGAACCTTATAGATAAAGTGAAGTTTTGGTTTTGGTACTCTACAGTGAGAGCCATTATGAGAAACCTGAAACAGTGCACACTGAAGACTCATCCAGGAGGTCACCAAAGAATCCACAGGAACATCTAAAGAACTGCAGGGCTCAATGTCTCAGTTAGTTAGAGTTAGAGTTCACGATTCAACAATAAAAAAAGACACTGGGCAAAAATGGCATCCATGAGAGAGTTCTGCGCTCTACCTGAAAATCCTGAAGGAGAATGGCTGGCTGTCAGTTCACGCCCCGTAGCTCAAGCATATGCAAAGGGACAACAATCTGAAACACACCAGCAAGTCCACCTCTGAATGGCTCAAAAAACCCAAAATGAAGTGGCCCATTCGAAGTCAGAACTTAAATTGGATTGAATGCTCAACAAGTCTCCAATGTGGCTTAAACAAAACAATCCAAAAGCTTCACCAACAGTTATCACAAATGCTGGATTGCAGTTCTTGCAGCCAGCAGTGGGACAACCAGTTTTTAGGTTTAGAGGACAATTCATTTTTTGTGTAGAGCCAGTGTGTTCCCGTCCATATAAGATTTTAAGCTTCTTCAAAAAAAAAGTATACATGACAAGTTTGTATGGGAATTAATTAGTGTTGCACAAGTATTATATTTTTTGGAAAGTAACACAAAAAAGGAAGCACACATTTTCTCTTTTTTTGGTAATTTAAGATTTAATTTCTTCAACTTTAACAGTTTGAAAATATGATTACACATTAACCAATATTCTATTCAAGCAAGGCTGAGACATGTATTATAATGCAATGTGGAAACAATGAGGTGACAAAATGCTGAGGGTCACTATGTACACAGTTTATATATAAAGAAAATCAAATGGCAATGACATTTACACCATCCTCAATTTCAATATCATATGGCATCCGATGAAAGTGAATTAGAATATATCCAAGTGATCAAACAGTCCCATGATATTCATGTGACATCGTGTGCATACTTGTAAAAATGTCCATCCAACAAAAATGAAACATCATGTTTTTAACCACCGGACAAACACAGCATGATTTGATTTCATTTAAGAGCTTTACTCTCACTTAAATGCCACTATGCAAATGCGTGAACTGGTCAAACTTGCAGTATGTATGTCTCCTCAGTTCTGCCGAAAGTATTCAACACAGCTTTTCCAAATTTCTATTTGTTGGCCAAAACTGTGCCCAACAGATGTGCGAATCATTAAGAATACTTGAAAAAGAAAAAGAAAAATCAGCTTTTTTGTAGTCACTGGGGTCGACTACTGAAACTGTCGTTTCACAAAATTTGTATCGTGACTATGTGTGTAAGCAGATCTGCTCATCAAAGATTTAGAGTCCAGGTTAGTGGGACAAAGACCGGAACATGACACAGGACAAAATGTTGTCTTTTCTCAAACTTTTGAAATATTTAGTGTGAAGATGACGACTGCTGTAAGTTGCCGATGTGCATTTCTTTTAAAGGCTATGCTCACATAGAGGATGCCTAGACAAGACTTTGTGTGTCTTTTCTTTTCTTCCTTTACTTTGAGAATATCCAGGAACCCCTGGGTCAAGTATGCTTAACAAAACAACACAACTTGATACGCTTCATTCCACACATGCACACAACATGTAACATTCGTGCTCAGAACAGCTTAAAGTTTAAAGTTTAGGTCACACACTGAAAAATCTAATTTGAATCCTTTTATCCTTTTCCAGTGAAAATCAATCTATATCATTTTGCATTTTCTTTTTGAAAAATAGGATATTTTATCATCTTTTGAAATCCGCTGAGAAAGCACGACAAGCTTAACTACGAGACGCTGATACGTTTGAGCAGAGATTTTGCTTTAAAAAATTGAAAAGAATTGCAACCGTGGCAGTAAAATGAAGCCTAGAAAGCGCTTCTATGAGACTGATATAAAAATGTCATGACTAAGCCATGATGGAGATGTAACACTATCTACATATAGAATGCATTAGCTGCTTCATGAGTATTTTTTTCCCCATTCATTACATAAAGGTGAGTGAGTCTGGCATATAGGCTTAAAAGTAGTCTCTTTCTATTATAAGTCTGTTAAATGTTCTAACTTTTGTCTAGTCTAGTGATTTGCAGGAAAGCGGATAGATGCTATGTTCAGGACACATACATTTATCGGGTCACAAGAATCAGTGCATCTCAGAACTGTTGTTAATGTTAAAAAAAAATGAAGAAAAAAAACCAAGATTTTGTGTCAATAAAACAGGTGCAGGGTCATCCCAAGCTGAGCCTCAGAGTCCGTGTGGACAGCAGCAGCCACAGCATGGCCCTGTGTGTCTGGAGGCCAAAGAGTAACACACAGTTTAAAGGAAGACCAGCTTTTCCCCTGTGGACCTGTGCAGTGTGGGATGCAGGATCAGGGAGGGGGAAGCATTGGTATAAGTTGGGGTGGGGAGCGCTGCAGGGCAGAGGATGGGGAGATGATCCTGTTTACTATTTGGGTATATCCCCTTTCTTCAAAATGAGCTGCCGCTGCCAGGGCGCCAGTTTGGTCTCGTCATAGCCTAGGTTTCGTATTCGCTCCAACTCCGTCTTCTCCTCGATCTCCTTCACCTTTTTGGCCTGCTCCTCTTCTTTTCTACGTGCACCCATAAAGGATAATTCACAGTAGTTAGAGCTGTACAGTAAATCTTCAGTTTATAGTTGTTACTTCTAACATATGCAAATGACCACATCTCAAGACACGAAGCACTCAGAAGCACAAACCACCACCAAGGCATCTCACTTTTTGGGCAGTATTTACTGTTAAAAGAATAGTACTGTATTTTCTGTATATTAAATTTATTTTCTTTGCTCTTTTTAAATGTAATTAAAGAAGTTTTTTAATCCATTGATCTCAGACTCACAGCACCTAACAAATTTCTCATTCAACACATTTTGTGTTACGAGTTGTATAAAGCAAAATGAATAAAATTTTCTTACCTTTTCTGTTCCCTGTCACATCAGGAGATGGTGAGCACAAGAAGACAAGGTTTAAATATCTTAAACAGCAACAGCAGTTAATCCACAAGTTAAAGCAATTAAATGAGAATTTTAACACGTGCAAGTGACAAAATAGGAAGTACACTTTATACTCTAAACATCAAGTTCAAATTGTTCAACAATAAATGTCACAAAGAAGGCTAAAGATCGCACAAATCTTGAGGTAAAGCAGAATTAGTCAATATATTTTTGCTTCCACTGGAGGAAAAAAATGAATGAAACCTTTCATGTAAGGTTCTCGACTCTTTTACTTCTTCCGGGCTCTGATTTATGGATTTAAAAACAGATACAAAACTAGCCTTTTACTTTTAGTGCATATGACGCACCTGCAGTTTTGATTAGGTCCAACATTTTCCCAATGCAAATACAAAAAATACATTTAGTAAGCTGGGTATTTTTGAATATTTTTGAAATAGAGAAGTACAACATAGTTGTGCAGAAGAGCTTCTTGAAATGCAAATAAACAGTAAATTAATAAAGAAGGCCTGCAATGGCAAGAATTTAAAGTGCTTTGCTGTGAAAAAAAACCCCTCTAGTAACAAAAAACCCCCAACTGGTTGGATGTTTTGGTGGCATCACAGCCACTAAGTGTTTTCTGCCAACTTATTACAGCCCAGAGCGCCTTTATGTCATCCATTTGGGTTAAGCACTACTAACTTGCCACCAAAAATGAGATGTGCTGAGTAACACTGGCTACTCACCTCTCTTCATCCATTTTCTTCTTCATCATGTCTCTCCTCCAGGCTGGCATTGACGCCAGGCGTGCCGCCTCCTCCTCAGCCTGTAAGGGGACAGAGGGGTCCGGGGAGAGACAGAGATAGGGGCCCACAGCAGTCAGCAATGAATTTGTACTTTTAAAGTATCTTCTGTTGTGAGGAGACTTGTGTCAAGTTTAAGAGAAATCGCGAGTGCAAAATATGTACTACATGTATTTGGTAAATGTGAGCAAGTTCTTCAGTCAGTTAAGTAGCTAACTCTGCTACAGACTTCACTTGCATCATCTTGTGTGCAACCTTCTTCTTTAAAAAAGTAGTAATCTCAGTCTTCACCTTTAGGTTAGCACAAAGCCATGAACAGATGTGCCCCATGAGATCATTTTTAAAATATCTGTTTATAATACACCTGGATATAATAATAGATGTGTTAACATTTGAAATATTTGAAAATTACTATTGAGTCTATTATATTAAATTAAAGGTGATATGGAGATGATTTATGTCGGTAGCACTGCATAAATCATCACTAAAGCAGGCAAGCACCTGCATAAAGAACAACTGTAATGAAATGTTAGTCCAGTCTGTTTGTTTGTGCAGATTCTCAAATGTCAGTTTTAAACAAATGGCCTTTATGTAAGACTTAAGAACCTAAACAATGGTAACCCAATATAGTTGAAACTAATGTATGAACTCACCAAAACAAACAGATCTCACAAAATGTCTGCTTCTGCTGTTTGTTTAAAATGAAACAAAGCCTTTGAAAAGGACAGTGTTTTACAGGATATTCTCTGTGTACACATATGGTAACTGGATCCTTTTTTTCCCTTTCAGGCTGTAACTGGAGGTGGAGCGGGAGAGAAAGAGGGCAGCCATCTTGGATTTCTCATCTTCGCCCAACTAGACACATTACCCTTCTGCATTCATTTTACTGAAGGATTTCACTTGCCCTAGCCAGTGTGAATCCAGGTAAGATTATCTATGGAATTAATATTTAATGAGTCCCCTGGGAATTTTGCCTCAAAAAAAAAAAAAAAGAAAAAAAAAGAAAAAGAAAAAACATGGAGAAAACAAACAAAAATAAACAAATTTACACCGCCCCCCACCAAAACCCTTCACCAAAAAGTAGCTGATAGTAGCTATTAAAGGTTTAAAAGTAAGTGTGATCAAGTCATCTGGCAGTTAAGTAAGAGTGACAGTTAAGCTAACCAATTAAAAAAGAAAAAGCTGCAAAATACGAATTAAGCAGCTCTCTTGATGGGCTTAATAAAGTTTTTTGGTTTTGTGGGCCATATTTGTAGTGTCAGTGGACATCCACAAGGGTCAGAACACACAACCCTTTGCTGTGCCTGCATACTGTTTGGGATTATAACAATTGTAGGCTATTAGATCTATAAATTTGGAAGTGTGAAAATGACATTGTATTATTAAGATGAAGTTATTGCTTAGACTTTGCTGTGCTAGCAGCTATTTCAATAATCAATAATAGTTTTAGGTAATTTTATTGAATCTAGCATTATTTTTTGTCTAATGAAAGAAAAATAAACAAATAAAAGGTAGTTCAGTCAAGACTAATTCTGTTGAAACTGTAATTACTTCAGCAACCTGACCTCCAGTTCCATATATGCAAGAGCGCATTGTGCAAGCTCAGCAGATTACATCATAGTCTATTATAGTTTTGCCCATCTGTTAAGGCAGTGTTGTTAATAACATCACTCTTTACTGTATTGTGTACGTGCTCCAACTCTGCCTGAAATATTGTGCAAAGGGGAAAAAGTTTGATAGAAAGTGGCTTTAGGTTTACCAGCTGACTGCCTTCTCGTGCGACCTGCGAGTTGATAAAGATTCACTGTAACCTCCTTATGGCTCCTGTAAGCCACAGATAGAAGGACAGCAGGGGGTGTTAAGAGGGTTATTCCAAGGTAATCTTGATGCAATAGAACAGACACTATGAGAATAGTGTGCAGTGTGCGGTTTATTGCATCGACAAGCATTGCACTTGAGGATTACACATTGAAGAGTGTGTGTTTGACAGTTGCTCTTTCATTGGTAAATCAGTGTCGTTATGTAAGTTCTAAAAAGAATGGATCTTAGGTAATCTATTGTTCTGGCCTTTTTGCCAAACAGGTGCATCAGTGCAAAAACTCCAAACGGTTAGTTGCTGCTTAAATCTGCTAATCCCCAAAAATGACAGTTTTATTTAGTTATAACACCAACCTAGAAACCAATAAATAGAAGAACATGAAATCAATTATGGAAACTCTGAGCCAATATTTGAAATATACTTATATAATAACATAAGCAAAAAATGGAATAAACACCATAAAGCAGCTGTAACATTTTAATGTGATGTTTTATTTAAGTTAAAGCTTTGACTGGTGAATACTTTTAAATATGCTCAGAGAAAAAAATTGTAACTTTTGAACCATTTTCACCATATTTCATCAATTCTGTAATGTTTATTAAAAGGCACACCTTATAAGTTAATAATCCACTTGGATTTAAACAAAGACATTTGTGAACCACTAAGTAGTTCTAAACTTCAAACCCACTAAAGACTGAGCTACTTTCTCTCTCAGTTCAAGCAAAAAGGAACCATTTAGACACTAAGGCCATTTTCCCCTTCACTAATTATCAAGAATGAAGGTAGAACAGAGGCCAGATGCTGCTCACTCGCTGTCACTTGCTGTTTTTGTGTGAGTTCACTGAGGCCAGTGTTTAACTGTCCTATAGCCAACTGGCTAAAAATGTGACAAATAGGAGAAAAGGGGACACGTTTGATCATGTGCATAGAAAGAAAGATAAATGAAAATGTAACTTTTATGTAGCAAAAACTGTGTGCAATTCCATGTCATTTTTTAAAGTCAGCGGAATATATGAATGTTATCTATAGACCTGAGTCTGTCACTTAAAAGTGAGCCACATCTTCTTATGCACGTTACATAAACCGGTGCCAATTAATCACCTACTGTATGAAAATGAGATGGGATAAAACCCTCACATAAACGCAGTCTGAAATATTCAGTGTAAAACAACTATGCAGAGTTTTACTAATCATCCCCATTACAAAGATGACCCAAAGAAACAAACAGCATTGATTTTTATGGCAAATCTTTTCCTTTTAAACTTTTTTTTTCCTTGTGTTTTGTGGCAATCAATCATACTTTGTCTGAAAAGCTCTTGGTTTCACACAATATGTGCATCTTTTGTAATACAATGCATACTTTTCTCCACTTAAACATACAGAAGCGGTAATGTTAGCACAGCAGCATGGATGCTCTTTGCTGCAGTTAAGTCCATTATGTGACATGGCCTAAACATTAACAAAGCAGATTAGGTTCTCTTGTCAGCATGTTGCACTGTGCGTGCTAGTTTTCCAGAACTGATCTTAGCAGTGAACCTTCAGCACAACCTTAGCCTACATAGCTGTTAGATATCAAAAAGTTCAGCTTCCTTTTCTTTCCAAAAAGCAAAGCTTCGGTCAATGTATTTGATGATTTCCTCATTGCTGAACTCTTTAAGCTCATAGATGACTTTAATTGAATCTTCATTGGGTTCTTCTTTGGGTGGAGGTTTATCAACGTGGGGTTCTTCTTTGACTTTAACAGTAACAGGTTGGGCATCTTTCACTGGACATGGTGTTGCTGTGTCTGGAAGTGTCTCAACTTTAGCTGTTGTTTCAACATGTTGCACGCTTGCCAAGTCCTGCATGTGGTCCTGCTCTGAACCTTTCCCATTAGAAATTGCAGGCTTATTTAAACTGACATTCCCCTGAACACTGTCCTCCACTGAGTCCTTGGGGGGTCCCTGCTCCACACACTGACCATCGTGAGCCACAGCAGGTGACAAACCTTCAGAAACCCCCGAATGTGAGACTGGTAAGGAGGGTTGTTGTGATGGTGCAGGTGGTGCAGAGTGTGCATTCGAAAGTGGGAGTTCAGGAGGTGGTGGGTGGGATGGTGGGGGAGGGAATGTTTCCTGCATTGGCATTATGGAGATGTCAGGAGACATGGAATGTAGCGATGCTGTCAGCATGCCTCCTCCCTCACCCGAGTCTCCAAAGTACTTGACTTTTATGTCCTCAAAACCATCCGCCCAATCTCGCTTCTCGCACTCAATTTCCTCCATGACCTCCTTGTGAAACTGCCTTATGACCTCCCATTTGTGGCTGCCAAGACGGTCAAACATCTCATAGCATAAAAGGTGTCGGAATTTCCGCTCACTTCGAGACATGTTCATTTCCAATAGCTGGAAATAGCCAAGCATGAAAAGGTCAAGAGTTAGGCTTTCATAGCTCACAGTTGACCCGTTGATGTGCGGCAGGAAATGCTGTGGCCAATAGATCATCTGAGCACGACTCAGCCGGCGGATCTGGCGTGTGGGCACTTGACTCATGATTGCCCTCCAGTGACCAATCAGATTCCCTACTACCTGCTTTGATTTCATAAATAGGAGGAGTTTATCGTCTTCACTGTGCATCTCTCCACAAATCTGTGCACTAAATTGGCTGTAGTCCTCCCAGTCCACGTCTAAATGATTTCGCCTCCTGCCAGTATATCTAGTCTGATAAGACTCAGAGACTGTATACTTCCGCCAATGTTCAAGGAACAGGAAGACAATTCTCTCTTTCCTCATTTCAATACATTCCTGGACATAGCTTAGATCTGTCTGCACCTCCAAGCTTCTTGTTAGTTGATCATTATTTAAAACAGGGTCTGCAGAAAGAACCTGGCTGAACTGTTCAATATTAGTTGGCGCCATTGCCTCAGAAGACATATATGTCTTAGGAGCATGAGATGCGGTGATAGCTGGTTCTTCAACAAGTGGTAAGACTGATTCCTCCACTGAAGTTAAACCACCATTGGTATTGGATTCCAGTACGGAAGCAGAGGAACAAGGGACCTCATCCTCACAGACTGTCTCTGGATGATAACTAGACTCACTTACCACAGGGAGTGACCTCTTGCGTTTGTAAACCCTATTTGCTTGGTTGTCTGCAGACTGCGGCTGATTCTGAACTTCATAATTAGCCTTTAGGTTCTTCACTGAAACGCCGCACTGCTTTATTTCGTTTTCTACATCCTCTCTTGTTGAAAAGGATTGAGAGCGTCCCATAATTCCAGCTGATCCCACTGACTGACCTGTGCTCACATTTCTTGTGTCTTCTTGGGAATATCCAGGACATATAAGATCCAAGATGTCTATCTCTTTGCCTCCCAGAGTGGCAAGAAGGATAGCCATACTCTTTAGGAGGGTAGAAATCTTGCTGCACCAGGCTGGAAGATCTTCAGCTTTGCCATGCACCTGCTTTGGATTGACTGAGAAGTGCCCCTGATTGAGAGCAGCAGAAACTGGTAGAAGCTGGTGAAGCTCCTGCTCCAATTCACTCAGTTCCTTCTCGACTTCTGATACCTTATGCATAACCTGTAGGTTCTCAATTTGCTTCTCAATTCGGTTCAGGTCAGCCTCAGTCATCAGTTCACCAAATGGGCCCAAAATGGCATTGTGGGCGTGGGAGTAGTGCCATTCCAGAGGCTGGTACTGCCCAGTTGATGCAAACTAAATCAGAGGTCAAAGGAGACCAATAGGACAAGGGAAGAAAAGGAGGAAGGAGGGAGGGATTCCTTCAGCTTGAATTTCCTGGTACGAACACACGCTTCAGTGCAAATCCATCCTAACACACAGGATTTACATGGATTTAGTGGTGCAATGGCACTGCCTGATTACAAGCACAAAGCTTTCCAATGGAATTTTGAGTCAAAGAACAGTGACTACTTTGTTGAGTTATATGCGAAATTATATGTTAGCTAGACCAATACTGGCATGCAAGAGTTACAACATGTTAGTATTTGTATTTTAGGCACTTAACACTGCAGATGTTTCACAACATTTGCGTAATGCCTCTTAAAAGGCTCTATTCTGTTTTTATGAGCCAGTGTTTACTTTTGTCTGATATTTTTTTTATGCATCTACACAACACTTCTACTGCAAGGACGCTGACACTGCAAACCATTGGCGTTACTCTTTATGAGATCATGATCTGCTCGCACCCTGCCAGCTTCTCCCCCCCAAAAAAAGATGTTGGGGAAATTAAAAAAAGACTGCTACAACGATTAGATAGAGATGATTTAAATAAAATAAAAAAATCCTCAATGGACACAAGTTTTCAGTATTGTTAATATGCTATTTGTGTTACTGTTGGTATCAATAATGGTTGACTTGTAGTGTGAATGGACCCGGCATCACACCACTGAATCAGCATGTAAGAACTTGGAACAGCAAAACTCCACCATCAAACACCAGCCCACACTGTGAACCCATTAGTCAAGTGTGCCAAATTCTGTGATGGTTGTTGTAGCCAAGTATTCAATTCAGTGCACTCCAAAAAGGTCTGCTATTGGCAAGAAGTACAATTACGAACAAGAAACATGAAAAAATGCAAAAGAAGTGGATAAATAATGGAAAAATGTGAGAACAAGGAGATGATCATTTTGTGGACGTGAACACGTTTTCATGTGTTATTAGCTTATGTGTTACCAGTTTAATGTTTTTATGAAAAAAATGGAACTAAACAATTAAAACACTGCACGTGAGCAGTGTGTTTAAGCTTGTTGTTTAGTGGTGCAACATTACAATTCCTTAGATAGCAGTAAATTATTAATCAGTCAAATTTAATCAAGCATGTTACATACTACTAGGGTCCTTCTTGTATTACACAGGATTAGCAAGTGTTCAGATTGTTCCGGTACAAACTGCGAATTAACATCTTGTCTAAATAGTCATAATATAGTGCTATGACTGTGCATCAGTGTATGCTGGCTGTAGTCCTTGAGAAAAATATGACCCCACTGAATGCTTAGCTTTAAACTAGCGACTTCTAAGAAAAGCCAACACAAAGAGCAAAAATGATCTCATGCAAAAATGGAACTAAATTAAACATGCCTTCGCACAATGCCAGTGTTCAAAGCATAGACAGTATAAAACATGGATGTAGTTTCTGGCTAGGAAGAAGGAAGTGCTTTAAACCTGCTAAAAAGTCTATTTTTGCAAATCTTGTTCATACCGTGTTTCAAAATGGCAGATTATCTGTGAAAATGTCTTGTGGTTGCCAGTGAGTGTGTGGTTTCACAGTCAAAACTCCTCATCACATCCTTTTTTTTCCCAAAATCAAGACGGTGATGGAGAAAACGCTCATCTTGAGGTTTCAAAACAAGACTGCAGAAGCAGTGGGTGATGTAACAGTAGCTACGTCCATGTTTTATACTGTCTGTGGTTCAAAATCACAAACTTCCACGCTCAAATCCAAGCAACAGCTATCCCCTTTGCTTTGCTCATGATCTCAATCTGAAGTCATTTCTAGTCACTTTTACTGTACACTGTTAAATTTATAGGCCCACAAATGGGATAGCTAATGACACTCAGCCATTATGCCTACCTTGCGTTTGTGCTCTTCTTCCTCTTGCATCTTGACCTGAAGCTTGCGCACCATCACCTGCCTTTTCCATTCAGGGATGGCTTTCCCTTGTTCATCGTGAGTAGGCACTAGAGCCTCAACATCTGTGAGGCTCGTCTTCCGCCCTGAATCCGCTTTTGCTGTGCCTCCACCACTGTTCCCATTGAACACAGAGTTGGAGGACAGCTGCTCGTTGCTCCCAGATGTTGACACGGTCCTGCCAGATCCGGAGCCAGCGGGGCTGGGGCTGGGACTGGGACTGGGGCTGGGGCTGGGACTGGGGCTGGGGCTCGGATTGGTGGGTTGTGAGGTCACTGGTGCGCTGGTTGGCGGAGGGGATGGCGGTTTGGCTGGTGGGCTAGATGATCGACTCTCTGGAGATGTAGAGTTTTCCTGAAGAGAAATAAAGGCACAGATGGAAAAAAAACAAACAAACAGAAGTCACATAAATTTTAACACATGTGGCTAAAAGAGAGTGAGATTTTGACTTTCATAAATCCGACCAGAATGTGGTTAGATTTGCATATAGTTCATTTAAAATAGAGAGCGTGACATCAAATCCACAGTTGATGGTAAAAACTGTGAATTAACTTTCAGAACGATCCCTTCTGCATGAGTCACTGTCTGTAGCTAAGGAAGCTAAGTGACCTACATTGTTTCCTGTGGGCCCGCTGTTGGAATACACAGTGGTGTAGCCTTTACTGTGAGGTGTGGGCTTGAGGCTCTTCCCTGCCTTGATCTCTGCCAGCAGCTCCGAGTTGTCGCCGGTGGGGGACATCATGTTGAAAGATTTTGCGCCTGCGGACAAAAGGACAGAACAGGCAAGTGAAACCAGGTAGAAAGATTGAGCAGAGAGAGATGGATACAGACAGACTGAGAGAGATAGACTGATGAGGAGAAGAAGGGCTTGAGTGGCATTTCACTGTTAAATATTTCATCCAATCAGCAAGGTAACAATGCTGACCTGGAGCATGTTGGACAATGATGGGAGGTCATAATGGTATTCTAAACCTCACTCATGGATAAGCTAGATAAGTTTCTTTTTAGATTTGATTACTCTGGTTGGCATCTGCCTTTATTCCTGCTGGGGTCGAATGTTTGCTGGAGACGTAAATATCGTTGGGCAACTGTTAAATCGGCCAACAGCTGGAGTGAGCCAGGATTAAATGAGGATGAGCAATTAAATATACTTTCATTACGGTGAACTCAAAGAACAGAGACACACAGTCTCTTTCATTGTCATCTGACCATTATCGTTACAGCTCAGCTGCTGTTAAACACCCTAAAAAGATATACATTCAGTTCCCGTTTACAATAATCTACTGAATGAATCCTTCAACAAATTTAACTACACTTCAACTTCAAACTCTGTTTCAATGCAATTGAAAATTAACTTCATTTTCACTTTTAAAGGAAAAATAAAATTGGTCCTATGCCAATCAGGCAATGTCAAAATATGCCGCTAATTTATGCAATTATACATTTAGATCAGCTTTTCAAAATCATTATACTAACCATAAAGAAAACCATAAAGTACTGCATGCAAGCACCACTGCAGCTGTCGTTTGAGTTCTTAAGCAAGAAAACATTTAAAGTGTAAATGGAAAAAGCTCAAAGATGATGCTGTAGTGCACAACTAACAGTTACGCATATCTTTTTACCAGGATTTAAAAGTAGAATACTTTGAAGCAAACGCACAAAAGGACACCTCACCTGTTTTTGAGAATGTTTTTTTCTAGGAAAATAAATATCCTCAATCCTTCATTGTTTACTCATCCTCTATGTGCGGAATGGAAAAAAAAACAAAACAAAAAAAGAGTCCTACTGAAAAAGTGCTCCCTGTTGAGACAACCGCAATGCTCCGGCCGGACACAAAGACTCGCTAGCGTGCCACCCCTCCTCACTCTCCCTGCTCTCTCTGTCTCTCTCGTGGGGAGGAGAGAACAGCTTTCCATTAAAGACCTATCATCACAGTTGGGGGAAATCTAAAGGAATCACCCGTAACTGGAAGTGACAGCCAGCCATTGGCAAGCCAGCTAGGAATTAACACACACAAACGCACACACGCACACCGTGTTTCAATCCCCGGCTTCTCAGTGCCCAACGCCAGACCAAGATTCAGTTCGATCGACCTGATAAACTGTTTCGAGACACATACAGCTGCCCCTCATATTTTCTGCATCACATAGAGAGAGAAAGAGAGATAGAGAGAAAGAGAGAGAGAGAGCGAGTGAGCGAGCGAAAGAGAGAGAGATTTGCCTGTGTGTGACACCACTAAGCCTTTTACAATGTGTGCTTGATTGAAACTGTGGCCTGTGTAAAGCTTCAGCATAAAAAAGAAAGAGCTGAAACACCTTTGACGGCTATTTAAATTCATTTTAAAAAGCTCAGTACATCGCACGAGAGGTACAAATCTAAAATAACCTGGGCTAAAATGTAACTAGATCAGTTGCACATAAGCATGATTAAATGCTTTTTCAAACTTAAAAACAGCTAAACAACATTAAACAGCTGTATCTTTAAAGAAAAAAGACACATTCTAAGTTGGTGTGCTTGCAACTTTTTGAAAAGAGACTAAAATTTGTGTTTTTGGGTCTTTGCTAGTATGATTGTATTTAGCCTGGGATGTGGGTGGAGAGAGGGTGGAGGTTTTTATGAAGAGACTCACACAGTGGGCAAACAGTGTGACATGTTCCTATGGTGTGTTGCTGTTAAGGTCAGCTATGACCTATGATATAAAAAGCAGGATCCTTTGCACCCTTACAAAC